AAAAAAAAAAAGAAGGTGGTTGTTCATGATCTTTTATCACCAAATAGTTGGCTTGCATTTTTGGAAGATTCATCATACCATAACTACTATTCAAACAGTCAATAACCTAGATCATTGGTAGTAAATCTATGGCACACCTGCTGGAGTGGGCTGAATTTTTTGTTTGTTTGTTTGTTTGTTTTTGGTACCAGGGATCGAACTTGGGTCCTTGCGTTTGCAAGACAGGTGGCAGAACCACTGAGCTAAATCCCTGGCCCCTGCAGTGGGCTGTTTGTATCACTGAAAGCTCTAAAAGTTTGCCATCACTGAACTAGATTAACAGATTCAACACTCTTCTGAATTAAAAAGACACATACTGTGACAGGTGAGCTTAAATGTCAAGTTGATTGGCTTGGGAGCTGCCTAAGGAATCACACTTCTAGGTGTGTCTGAGTGGATCATGAAAGCATGACGTTGGGGAGTCTATATCCAGCCAGTTCCATGTGCCTTTCTCTAGCACTGTTCCCCTGCTCTTCTTTGCTGCCATGAGTCAGGCAGTTTTGCTCCCACATGCCCATGCATCATGACGTTTCTGCCTTGAAGCCAGCCAACTATGGGGTGAAATTACCTGCAACTTTGAGCCAAATTAAATCTCTGCTTCTTTAAGTTGTGGATGTTAGGTATGGTGGGTGTTTCACCAACATCAACCAGAAAGCTAACTAATCCACATACATTCATTATGGAAAATGGTAAAAAACCAAACAACACAACAATAACAAAAATTCACACACAGGACATAAAGTACTATTCTATTTTTTGGTACAAATAAGATTCAATTTATAAAATTTGGTCATCTACATTTTACCTATCTCACAATATATTTCATTAATTCCTGTGATGGTGTTCAATACACTACTTTAAAGCTGTGATTTTTACAATCATATGAACATAATATTAAAAATATTTAACAAACTCTATTTTATTGACCAATCGGGTAGCTTTTGATTTTTCAGTAAATATAATGTGACACTGGCACATTTCTGCACATGTATCTGCATGTGTATGTTTAAACTACTGTATATAAGAAAATCTGTCATTGGACCTTCGTAAAAAAATCTCCAATACAATTATATATGTGAATACCTGTTCTACAACTTATCTTTTTGGCCCAGGGATTTAGCTCAGTGATTTTTCCACCTGCTGCGCAAGCACAAGGACCCGAGTTCGAACCCCAGTAGCAAAAAAAACAAAATAAAATAAAACGTACCTTTTTTTTCTTGAGAGTTCCATTAGGCAGAGGAAAATGGTCTTCTAGAAATTCACCCAAGGTAATCAAAAGTTTCTCTTTAAATTCTTTTATATAAAGAATTTTAGTTTTGAGTTCATTAAAGATTCTAATAGATAAAAAAAAATTGAGAGAAATATTTAACAGAGGAAATGCATACACACACATACCTGGTTAATCATAAGGCTGATCAAAAACTTTGTTAAAACTTCATTTGCTCCAACCAAATAACTAGCTTGTGAAAGTAATATTCTCCATAAATCATGCCGAGAAACTAATGGTAAAACCAAGTCAAGACATTCATAAAAAGTCATTGTAACAAATGGTTGGTAAAACTCAGGGCAAGACTAATGATTCCTAGTATAATTTGCCTTCTTTTTATCTGTATTTCATGTAACATTAAAAAAAAAAACTTTTCCCTATTCTAATAATAAAGAACATAAATTACCTGGATTCAGAAAATGTTACGACTTGCTTTTTCAATTCACTGTATATTACATTAAGAGATTTCATTATTTCTTGCTGTTCATCCAACCACTGCTGCTCCCTTTAGAAAAACAGAATAAAGTAAACCTTTCAATGCCAATTCAATGTCAATGATTATGATATAGATATAATTATGATATAAATGTACCTTTCCAATTCTTCTTTTAAATTTTCATTCTTTGACTGAATAGTAGATAGTACCATTTCAAGATCATGACTCAATTTTTGGAACTAGAAAAAACAATTCAAATTAATTGCTGATTTTTTAATAATATAGTTTTGTCTCTGAATGATGATGAAACTTACTCATTATTCCAGGACACTGAAACTCAAAAGCCAATAGTAAAAATGCCTAGCAGAAAGTATTTGAGGAGGTAAATATGCAGCAGATGCCAAGTTTTTAGTAACATTCCACTGTTAAATACAGAAATATAATACTAAGGGGCTGGGGATTTAGCTCAGTGATGCCGACGCCTGCCTTGAAAGCACAAGGTCCTGAGTTCAATCCCCAATACCAAAAAACAAACAAACAAATAAACAAACAAATAAATAAATAAAATAATGAGTGTTGAGCAATGTATTTTAATTTCAAACTGAAACGTAAATTAATGGTGTGTTTTCAGAAATTGGATAACATCAAAGAACAGAGCTGCCACCAGCGTAGAAGAGGAGAACCTTCTGGGCAGCCGTACCACTGCCCCCAGCTCTGAGGAGCAGAGCTGCCCCCAGCGCAGAGGAGGTGAACCTTCCAGGCAACCATACCACTGCCCCCAGCACCAAGGAGCAGAGCTGCCCCCAGCACAGAGGAGAACATTCCAGGCTGCTGTACCACGGTCCACAGCATCAAGGAGGTAAGCCCCACAGACACCAGCAGCACAATCCCTCCCTCTATTGAACTGAGAAGACATGTAAACAAGTCTCAAAACCAACTTCCAGATCACCTAAAGCAACACCAAAGGGAAACGAGATGGAACAATCTGATATGCAACCACCTGAACTTCCTGACCTGGCAACAAAAGAGGACCTAGAAAAAATGAAATCAGAAATAATTTCTCAGATAACAGCAGAGATTGTGCCCACAGTGCAAGACATAATTAATAAATCTAGAGAGGACACAGATAAAAAAAATAGAGGAGCTGAGGAACATGATGGAATCCCAACATAGGAAACAAATGGAATCCATAAAACAGATGCAAACAGATT